GGTGAGAAGTGGTTGATTGGTTGGTTGGCCTGGGGCCAGAGCTTGAGAGTGCGAAAATCCGCTTCTTCTTCCTCATGTTGTCTTTTGAGTGAAGTCGTAATGCGAGGCGCCAATTTTCTTTCTCAATCGAACAAGTGGATGAGTGAATGGTGTGTCCGTCTCACGAATGTATATGTGCGTAATCTCGTAGGAATATATTGTGTCTGGGTATCATCATTCCGCCCCGCCTTCTCGCTTTCAGAATTGCATTGGGCACAAATCTTAGAAGATCGAATGCTGACGAAGTTGCTTGATTGGATGAGTATTTCGGTTCCTTATCGATGAGTGATCGTGTTCTCTTTTCTCCCTCTGTATTTCCTTTTTCTAGTGGATGTTTATATCATGGTTGCCCCGGACCCGGACATCCAGACACCGGACACCAGGCCCGGACCTGCATCTGGATTAATCCGGACGCTGTTCCGGACAACCGGACATGCGGACCCGGACGGTCCGGATGTGAACCAACAGGTCCGGATGTCCGGATTAAAAAAAAAAAAAAAAAAAAAAGAAGAAGAAGAAGAAGAAGAAGAAGCCCGACAGACACAAGATGCTGTAGTTGTATTAGCCGATTTATCTTTCACACACTCACATACACACACAGTGTCACACACATACACACACACACACACACACCCAGTGTCGCACACGACGCTGTAGTTGTATTATCCGACATATCTTTAACACACACACACACCAACCAGTTCTCCTTGGCCTGCTGAAGCTCACCCAAGATTGCAAGTACAGGCCCTTCAGGGACAGTCCGGTTGGCCTAACGGTCCGCCAAAAACTGCGCCAACAATTTGCGGGGGACCACCAGGCACTGGAAAATCGCCTGGGGACCCCCCCAAAAAAAATCGAATTTTCTAAAAATGGGGCCCAACCGGACCCCCCAAACCGGACACCGGATCCGGACATCCAGACCGGACTGTCTGGATCCTGATCGGGACGTCCGGTTGACAACCATGGTTTATATGCATGGGCGGTGATTGGATGAATATGTTTTCGTTTTGATTTTCGTTATGTTTTGCTAAGCATTCCATAAAAAAGGAAGGAATCAATCGAAGAACCTACGAAATGGAAAGAGCAAGGCTGGAAGGACCAGAATTCACGGAAAGCATGCAGCAACAGATCCAAACAGAAATAAGGGCAAAGTGGGAGAAAGTTAAGGCTCAGATTCAATTACTACATTCAAAAATAGACATCCAATAAAGAATCAAGGACTTTAGCCTGAGCTGGCTTGGAGGGGACAACGGGGGGAGGATTGGAAAAGTGGAATGGCAAGGGGGACAAAAGGATCTAGGGGAGGGACAAGAGAGAAAAGATCTAGTGAGGGACTACCGGCTCCTTTTTCATGAGTGGACTAAGATCGATACAGCAATCCCGATGAGACCCAGTGAAGATTTCCCCTATCCCTTCCCCCCCCCTGTCAAACTGCTTGGTGGGTTTGGAATGGTATGGGAGGGATGGAGGAAATTAAGCAAGCGATGGGGAACGATACTGCTAGGGTTTCAGATACCAGGGAGAGAAGTAAGGGTTTAGGGGTTTAGGGGTTTAAGGGTCTACCCCATGTCACTGAAAATACAGCACTGATTAGATCCAAAAGATCTGGCACCACAAAGAGAGGAGGTGAAGAGAGGACTTCCCAGCATTTTCTCTAAAACTCAGGATAAAATTTCAGCTAGTTAATGCCATCAACTGAAAGTAGTACCAGCCCTTAACTGTGTTAGCTGGCGCCCTTCCTTTGAGGGTGAAGAGGTACAGATGGCAATGGACACTATATAGACCTGCTCAGTCAATCCCCTGGGTTGCAGGGCAATCAATGCTGGTAGGGCCCACGGTCACTGTTCTCATTGTTCTCGGACATTCCCATTGTCTGTATAAGGGACGCTGGACCCTTTTTCCCAGCAGGTGATGCTCCCCACCAATAGATGGAGTCTCTGCACAGGTGTTAGTGGTGTCTGCTCTTACCAGCACCACTAACACTGGTGGGTGGGTGTTAAAATAAATAAAAAATAAAAAATAAAAAATAAAAAAAAAGCCGAAGAGAAGGAAACTCATCCATGCATCTCGTTGGTTGATATTCGGGAGAGTAGCATCCACTCAAGTGACAGAAAAAAGTGACAAAAAAAGCAAAGATCTTCACGAGTTGAGCAGCTTTAAGGGAGCACCCATTCCAAAATCCTTCAATTATGAGTGTGTATTATTCATGCTGGCAGACAAGTCATACTTTTAACAATGCGAGGTGGTACTCATTCAGTCATGAATCCAAAAAGGAGGAGGATAGAGCGAAGAAGTACAAAGCGGTTGAAGTACTTTGTGTCCTTAATCTGCGGAGATGCAGCTAATCTCCTCATCCGGATATTTTGGTAAGGATACCCTTAGGCCCATCAAGTGGTTTAATAATACACTCCCTTGGGCTGACGCATGGTACTATTACAGACACTGCCTGCGCACCACCCAAGGGTTGTTCATGGTGTTGTATGTTGGTTCTGGGTTTCACATGGGTTGCTTGGGGGTGTTGGTCTTGGGTTTTCTGTTGATTTCCCCAGTCTGGCATATCACACGTTCGTGCCGTTTCCACTAGTCGTTCACATGGTAGAGTCATTCGATTACATGTTACAAGGTCACTCACGGATTCGAGCTTGGTTCGGACCTTGGGGGGTCCTTGTCCACCTTACCCCATTCTCTCTTCGATATACACACACGATGCTGCCTATACATATCGATACATCGATTCACAGAACACACACAGCCTTCGGGCATATACATAGCTTGCAAATTATACATGGCCTACGGGCTACATACACAAGTTTCCACACGTAGTGCTGTCTGTACATCTTGATACATAGATACATGGAGCATACACAGCCTTCGGGTATACAAATAGATTGCGAACTACACAACTATCTCACTTGGGGGGTCCTGTCACTGGGTGGGGTCTAGTATCTGCAGTAGGGACAGGTATGGGCCACCAGAGTTCCTACTGATATTCGGATAGAACTGTCGAGTGGCTATATATAAGGCTTAGACCCTGGGGTAAGGGTAGGGGTATAAGTCGCTCAGCCCAGTCCGAGTTCCGCCTGGCCTTGGGTAAGCTAGGGTAAGGACGGTAAGACTGCTTCAATGGGTGCTACCCTGTCTGAAACCTAGGGCGCAGAGTCTCTTGGGGCCTTTAGCAGATTGTCTGGGCGTGGCGTCTGAAGTTCCCGTTCGACAAGGCTCGTCCGATTCCGCTTCCACCAGGGCTGGCCAATCTATCAGCCCTGGTGCATATCACTGCTGTTCGGTCCAAGTTACCTGCCCATTCGTAGGGTAATGGTCCTGAGTGCTGGTCACACTGAGGTAGGATAGTAGGGTAGGGGGTGCGCTAGGAGTATTGACGTGAGGATGGGATGGGAGGTGGTCTCATATTCCAGGACACCCATGGCGTACTGCTCCAGGTGATCACTGTGTACTCAGTGACTGGCCTCTACAACACCATGGACTTTTAAAAAAAAACAAAAAAAGAAGAAGAAGAAAAAAAAAAGGTCTGTGATCGGACTGCGCAGTACCAGATAATCAGGGGATAGATCTGGCGCCCAGTAAGTGGGTGAAGAGGTACAAACTGCAGTCTGGCACTCTGAGATTTCTTCATTATGTCACATTGATCTCTTCTCATGTTTTTATGGGACACTTTCCAGCAGGTGTTACTCCCCACCAATAGGAGTGATCATCTATTGCACTCCTAGAAGGGGTGGGCCCGCTGTGGAGCTCTTATCACCTCCTTAAGTGGAACCCGCAAAAAGCGTAGGGCTGCTGGTCGGAGGGGCCGGCTAATGCAAAGACCGAGCATTTTGCCAGTCATTGCACCTCCCATCTATTTCCTCCACCCCCATCAAGTAACAACAGTGTCTATGGCAAGTGCTTGCCCACACATCACACAGACCCCGCCCCCCCCCCTCAAGACACACACATTACACATGTGATGGCTAAAGACCCTACCAATATCGATGACTATAGCAAAGTGAGAATTGAACCCATTGGGTCCTGAATGCCACTTGCATGTCTAACCAACCAAGCTAAGTCGCTTTTTGTTTTCTGTTCTTTTGGCTGTGCTGTAGCACTACTTCAACACTAAACTAAACCCGGGCTAGTGGGACTTGGGTCAGGGGGTTGTAATCAAATAGAACACTTGACAGGCCCAATATTCGTACATAACGCTGTAGAGCGCATCGGTCCTGCAGGGGGACCCTCCCGGCCGCGTCACGTAGGATTTAGCAGGTCTTATCGGACGCAGACATGGATACAACTTTTGCCGCTCCGGCCGAGTGCAGCAACCATACCTATTGCGAACCCCTACGACAGGATAGGGTCACACGAGGTACAAGTTACATCTACCCAAAGGGCTGTCACCACCCTTCGTTCTTTTTCATAATTTTTCCTTTTTCTTTTCCTTTTGCGGATGATTTGCAAAATACCCCCATAAGAGATATATTCCAAAATGCCCCAAAAGGATGTGAATGGAGCGGAATATTCCTTTGACAAAAAAAAAAAAAATTGTGAAATACCCCTAGTGTCGGTTGGACCCGTATCTTTGTAATATACCCCTAATAGGTAAATCCAACTTTGCAAAAAATGCCTGGGTACTTGCCAACCTTTCCAACGGCCGGTTGCAGAAGGCTAAAACCCAAACAGTAACATCCAGATCGCAAATTTGCGTACAGACACTTTTTTTTCTTTTCTTTAGTGGCAAAATTTGGGGAGTTCTTAGGATGCAAACTACAGATGGACCAGACATCTAACCACGCCGCTAGCGCTAATCTGCGCTACAGACCGGCCGGCAAGGCCCGGCCGCACTCCGTGGACTGGCGCAGGGATGGTGATGTGCCATCACTGCGCTTGGTCATCCTGCTGCCCGTCCGGTGCTTCGGCCTGGGCGTAGATGGGGTTTTCCCACGTGGCAGTTTTAGGGGACGGCACGTCGGCGTGAAGAAATCAAGCTTCGAATAAGGACGTGGCGCGGTTGTTTGGGGAAGTGGGCTCAAGCAACAAGAACAAGATACAGCAGTAACTTTGACGACAAATGGCGGCCTCATCCATGGCTACTTCGACGGAGCAGATGGCGATGGAGGCGGTGTCTATCCACGATGCTATCGCTGCCACTGCCCTTGGAGAGGAGGGAGCAGCGCTGGAGATTGTGCGGTTGTATAAGCGACAGATGGAGGAGCTCTACATTACGCTTATTCAACATCGACATAATCTATCGGCAGATCTTCTTGAGGAGGGCGAGGAGCTGGTCGCTGGTTGGGAGGAGGACCTCCATGCAGATCTCCCATCTCAACGGCAGGGCGCGACTGAAAATGAGCAGGTGATGGCGGAATTGGGTGGTTGTGCTGAAGTGATGACGAAAGTGAAAGGAATATTTGAGGAACWAAGGGAGGGGTCGTATGGGAGTACGAGGTGTGATGATGTGAAAGGGTGTTGCTGCGCAGGGCCTGAGGAGRGGCAGGTGTTGTGCRCTRCGACACAGGATCGTTCGTGCGAAGTGGAGATTGATACTCGGCGTGGAAGGCTTGAGGAGGGGCAGGGCTTTTGCGGCGAAATGTTGAAAAGTGACAACAACAACGCATGCACGATTGGCAGTTATGTCACCACCGACTCTACCATCGATTGCAATGACATCGTCGGCGACTATACCCGCAACGCCATCGACAACAACGATGATCGCTATTTTGGTGACGTGGCTTTTACCGGCGCTGACAATAACAACGGATATGATGCTGGCAACATCAGCGCCGGTAACAGCGACGACAACATCAGAGCTCATGACAACTACAACAACAACAACTGCGAAGAAGGTGATCGTTGTACATGCTCTCAAGACAGCCAGGGCGTCAGCAATGGTGACGTTGCTTTTACTGGAGCTGTCAATAACAATGGATATAGCGATGATAACATCAGGGATCATGACAACAACAACAACAACAACAACAACAATAACAGTGAAGAAGATTATCTTCGTGCATGCTTTCAAGACAGCCACGGCGCCAGCGATGTAAGTAATAACTTCGATTCTGGTCGGGGCGTTTGTAGAGCAGGGCAGGCTTTTCCCACGATCTTTGTTTTTTTTGGGGGAGGTAAGCCTGCTGGGGGGGGGGCGTCTTTGGGCATGCTCATGATGATGACTTGGGGTTCCCCGAGTGGGCGGGTTAGGGTAGTGGTTTGGGACTTTCGGTGCGCACGGAATATTGTGGATCTCGCGCCATGGGATTCGGGTGGGGTTGGGGGGGAGGTTTGGGGGCAGTGCTGTTGGGAAGGTCTCGCATGCAACTCTGGGAATGTGGAATCACCACGAGTGGGGGTGGGATAGGAGGGATAAAGGGTGGTAAACTATAAAGGGGCCGCAGTGCATGCCTGGCAGTGTATGATGGGGGGTGCGATCAGGTGTGTTCGACCTGCACTGTTTGGATGTTCCTTGCGGTCTGTACAATAATAGATCGCGATATTAGATAGCCTCGTGGCGAGTACGACATAGAGTTGCGACGAGTTTGACTTTTGCCACGTGGATTGATGATTTGATCTGTTCCCTGGTTTGAAGGCCCCTCCCTCTCAAGGTCTGTTTAGTGCCGAAAGTTGTTTAGTTGTGTGACGAGGGTTTCAAAACTGGGTGATGATGTGGCGACTGTGGGGAGAAAGGTTGTGGTTCGGGGTCGTCAGGGGATTGGATTCTGGTACCCTGCTACCCTGATTTCATTGCGTTCTCCCCTTGTGGTGCCGTTGATTGAAATTCTGAAGTCCTGCTCTGATGACCTCTTCCCCTCATGGAGTTGTACGATCTACTTAGAAGAAACAGAGGGTTGCAGAGTAGAGAGGTGTTTTTTCCGACTATGACAGGCAGTCAATCCCCTCAGTCGAGGGTAATCAATGCTGCTTAACGATATGGATGGAGCGTGCCATTGTGCTGGTTTGTTAGTTTTCAGGGATCACAGTATGACAGACACGTGGCAAATAATATGACCTTTGAATGTTTACAGGGGCGCTGGACCCGATTTCCAGCAGGTGATGCTCCCCACTAATAGATGGAGCCTCCCCGATCTTGCTAGTGGTGTCTGCTCTTATCAGCACCCCTAGCAATTACTCAGGCTGTTTCTCTTTAAAAAAAAAAAAAAAAAAAAAAAAAAAAAAAAAAAAAAAAAAAGACTCTCCTTCCTCTTCCTTGTCCCCCTTAAGCCACTAGTACACGGCCCTAGCCTTGCAGAAAGTTTTTGTCGCCACAAGCAAAACTCAGAGGCGCCGCGAGGCCAGGGGCACTATTGAAAAAAAAAATTGGCAGCCTCCAAAGTGGTGTGGGTTTCACATTGACACCTGTGGGCCGAGGAGTAGTGTACTGGTGCTTCAAACCACCCTTCTACCCCGCTTCGGAAATTCGGTGCACCGGTAGGCCATTTTTTCGAATAGGCACATGCACTACCCGTACGTCTGTGTGGGGCCTGGCCTTGGTCCCAGAGTGGCAAAAAATGGAAATATGCGGAATCAGCACGACGATTATTTGACAGGAAAAATGATTTTTAAAAATTTTCTGGTATTTTTTCCTTGGAAAGATCACGATCTAATCTACGAACCCTCAAAGTTTTAGAATTTCTTGTGAATTCATCTGAGCACGAAAAATCACCAGAGTTGCCGTACTTCTTCTGTTAGCCGACACATGGTAGAGTGGCAAAAGCTCGGCAATGATTTCACATGAAAAATGATTGTTTTTATTTTTTTCGGATTTTTTTTTTGGGCCATGTCCCACCTGCATCTTTCAACTAGTTCAATATTGAGTTTTCTATCAGGTGTGGCATGGCGCAACCTCTGAGATGCTCTCCCTGACTTCCAGCCAGCCGTTCATTTTGTAGATGGAAATATAATTTCGTTTTTGATTGCTTTCGTCTTCAGAAGAAATGAGAAAATTTTGGTTCCCGAATACAACACCCCCTACCCTAGCCCTTGTCCCGTTGAGCTAGCAACCCCACTTCGAGGAGTGGGTTAGCTAGCTCAACGGACGTTGAGCCATCATTACCTCCTGGTGGGAGGACACTCTGGCAGACAAGGGAGGGCACTCTGACAGACGTGGGAGGACACTGACAGCGGTGGGAGGGCACGTTGACAGACTTGGGAGGACACTGGTTCCTTGATTTGGGTGGTGAATGCACGACATTGCACGTAGCCAGAAATACCGTCCACATTCGTTACACGCTATAGTGAGCTCCTGTCTCCTACTTCACACAGTGCACTGAGAGTTCCGTATAACTAAGAGAGTTTCACTCGAGGAGATTCGCTTTCTCCTTTTCATTTTCCAAAAAATATGGACAAAAGCAGATTGCCCCACTTTCTTTCTCCGTTTTACATTTGAGAAAGAGAAAGGCGCAGTCAGGGTTTGAGTTTGTAATTGCACTTGAGGCAAAAGGGCCGGTAATGCTGAATGTATATGACCTATGTTTCGGGTCCGGTGGGGTCGCGTGGGGGTGTGTTGTATTCGCGGGATTGTCTGAAGTGCAATTACAAACTGTTTTCGTGACTGCGCCGAAGTTACCCCTTTGAGAAAATATGGAAAAAAGCTTTCACCCTAGGCTTCATTTCCCAAAAAAAAAAAAAGAAAAAAAAAAAAAAACATTTCCATGCGCACGGGTGGCCCCGGCACGCATGGATCCTTGCACGGGCGCACGGCCGTGCGGCCCCAGTGTGGTGTTCAGAAAAAAATGCAAACTTTTTCTCTGCTTCGTCTTCTTCTTTTTCTCCTCCCTCGTCGTCTACCTTCTTCTTCCCCTCCCGCGATCTCCTTCGTCCCTCCCACGCCCTCCTACTCTCTCTCCTGCTACCGCCTACTTCCCCTCCCGCCATCTCCTTTGTCCCTCCCACAACCTCCTACTTCCACTCCCGCCACCTCCCTCGTCCCTCCCACCATCCTCCACCTCTCTCCCGCCACTTCGTTCCTGCTCTTCCACCATCCTCCGCCTCCCTCCCGCCACTTCCTTCCTGCTGTTCCACCATCTTCCACCTCTTTAAATTTCTGTCGTCTTCCTCCTACCTCCTTTCCGCCATATCGAACCTCCATCCCACCTTCTCCCACCTACCTCCGGCCACCTCCCACTTCCCCTCCTGCCATTTACGACGTCCATTCCGCTTTCTCCCACCTACTTCCCGCTACCTCCCACTTCCCCTCTCGCCATCTCCCACGTCCCGCACACCATCCTCCGCCTCCCTCCCGCCACTTTGGTCCTCTCCTTCTGCCATCTTCTTCCTCCTTCCTGCCATCCTCTGCCTCCCTCCCGCCATCACCACTTCTTTGCATGTGTGGAAAAGGCAGATTTGGGCACTGCTCTGCATGCGCAGCAGGCCCCCACCCCCACTTTTTTTTATTTTTAATAAAAAAATCACCTCGCACGAATGACCCGTGCAGCCGCCCAGCCTTGCAGGCTGCACGGGTGCACGGCCGTGCCCCGCCGGGCAGTTCAGGAACCCCTGCTTTTCAGCAGCATTTGATTCTCTTTTTTGGCACTCATTTTGAATTTTTAATTTGCAATAACTGTGTCACACCGTTTAGCTAGCTCAACTCAATGGTGTAAGTGGGACAAGGTCCCTGGAAAGAACACCACCTAATCTAGGGACCCTCAAATTTTTAGAAATTTCTGCCCGGGGCGAGGTCCCACTTGCACGAATTAAGAGATTCTGGCCGTTGATCTTTGCTATCTACGGTCAATATCGCTTAATTCGTGCAAGTGGGACCTAGCCCCCGGAAACCAGGGTTCAACTCACAGGGCCTAGTGCTGCTTCCGATGTTGGGCCGGGGCACTCTCATCTTCTGCAGTTGCTGCTGCTGTCTGTCATCGGCCTGACAGGGCCATAACACAGATTTCGGGCCCAAAGGGTATATCGCTCTACGCACATATGTCAGGGGCATTTAGCATATATCTCAACTTACGAGGTAATTTTGCAAATTATCCCTTTTTTGTTGCATAATTTTTCTTACGCATTCCTCCGCGTGCCTGTCCTCCTGTTCATTCCATCTCCGGCGCGATCGAGCCGCGGAATGTTGCTGAATCTTTTGGAATCTCCCTTTCTGGCCGTCGACTGGCGGAATCGACAGTCGGGAAAAAGGGACCAGTCGGGATACTTGGGACGTTCACCCCGTCTTGGTACCCCTTGGTCTCAGTTGTCCCACGCTCGCACCTGGTCGTTCCGTTCCATGTGCATGCACCGCTCCGTTCATCGTACCCTTGGCCCCCTTCCCACGGGGTTTTAGGCGGGAAACCTTTTAGGCGGGAAACGTTTTAGGCGGCAAACTTTTCAGGCGGGAATCTTTGACGTGCGCCCTTGAAAGGGGCGATCCAGACAGAGCGTACAGACAGAAGATTCCGCGCCCAGTGGTCAAAGGCCATCGTCATACAAACGACTTCCGGGGATGAATCTGTGCGTAATCACGATCAGGTTCCGTCGTAACCGTCGTAACGGTCCCGTGTTTGAGTATGCCTTAACGCGGCGGCAGGGGCTCGTTGGAATTGAAAGTGGTTCGTCGGAGAGTACCAGGCACAAGCACCCAAACTGCGCTCAAGCCTAGTAGTAGTAGCAAAAAAGGACATCTTTCCCGAAATGGAAAGCTCTTCTTTTCCCAACACCCACTGCGCACTGTTCAGCCACGTGGCCCCTTGGGAGCACAGCATCAGGCCACGTGTCCTCAGCGGCCAACAAAAGACACTGCCGAGCAACCAGCGATCAGTCGACGGAGCGTTTCTTCTGCCAATGCCGTGAACGACGCGGGTTCGATACCCTCCCTCCAAACTCATCACAAATCGGACGGTCGATATCAACGGTTACCAATCAATCGACGGCTGCCAATCAATCAACAATTCCCAATCATTGAGCGATTGCTAAGCAATCAATTTTGATCACCAATCAATCAACGATTGCCAACCATCGTTGAAGATTACCAATCAATCAACGATTGTCAATGATTGGGCGCAGCCCCACTCCAGCGGCTCGAGCTCGAGTCCTCCACGTCATCTCGTGCTCATGATTATAAAATAAGGCTAACGAACGATCAGTCTGTGAAGACAGACGGTCAGGATCAAAGATGGGGAAGCCGCGCTGACGGTCGGATGGGAGGAGGACGGAGGCAGATCTAAAGGCTGTGGCCCTTGAGTTGACGAAATCGTGAGAACGGGTACCTCGCCCCAGCGGCAGAGGGTAACGATCGGTTACTGACTCAAGTACAAGCAGAAGTACGAACGCACGGTAAGTACTAACAGCTTAGTACTAAGTACACTGACGGCTAAGTACACTGACGGTTAAGTACGAACAGCTTAGTACTAAGTACACTGACGGTTAAGTACGAACAGCTTAGTACTAAGTACAATGACGGTTAAGTACGAACAGCTTAGTACTAAGTACACTGACGGTTAAGTACGAACAGCTTAGTACCAAGTACACTGACGGATAAGTACGAACTGCAGTGTACTAAGTACGCTGACGGTAAGTACGCACTGCAGTGTACTAAGTACGCTGACGGTAAGTACGCACTGCAGTGTACGAAGTACGCTGACGGTAGGTGCGAGCTGCAGTGTACTAACGGTAAGTACGAACGGCTTAGTACTAAGTACACTGACGGTTAAGTACGAACTGCAGTGTGTACTACTACTAAGTACACTGACGGTTAAGTACGAACTGCAG